TTGCTGCTGCTTGACAATTATTTAGATACTACTAGCCTTTAACTCTGGTTTCAAAGAGAGTCTGTTTCAGGAAAAGCAAGTATTGTGGCATCTCATAAACTGGCAAATTTGTCAGCCTTTACAGTGAATCAAGTTTCTTTCATTTTTTTCCCCCCCTCCCCCAAATAATTGGTTTTCTTGTATTACAAAAAGTTTTGCCTTTATATGAACATTTGTAGCAGTAATAAACATTTACGGTCCTAGTAATTCACTCCCACTTTTTCCTGTTCTTTTAAAATAGTATTTATTATACTCCCCTCCCCCTCGCAACTTATTTCAGTGTTCTCTTTTAGTATTTTTACCCAAGATTCATTTTGGATGCTTAAATATTTTTGTTTTAAAATTCTGTCTTTCTTCTTCTTCTTCTTCTTCTTCCAAACTCTGCCTGAGCATTCTACATTTTTTTCTTTTATTGTACGTCTGTTTGATCAACCCAGACCTGTTCAGCAGGTTTTCTTTGTTTTCCTCCTTTCTATATTTCATTTTTTCCCCCCCCCCCCCAAATAATTGGTTTTCTTGTATTACAAAAAGTTTTGCCTTTATATGAACATTTGTAGCAGTAATAAACATTTACGGTCCTAGTAATTCACTCCCACTTTTTCCTGTTCTTTTAAAATAGTATTTATTATACTCCCCTCCCCCTCGCAACTTATTTCAGTGTTCTCTTTTAGTATTTTTACCCAAGATTCATTTTGGATGCTTAAATATTTTTGTTTTAAAATTCTGTCTTTCTTCTTCTTCTTCTTCTTCTTCCAAACTCTGCCTGAGCATTCTACATTTTTTTCTTTTATTGTACGTCTGTTTGATCAACCCAGACCTGTTCAGCAGGTTTTCTTTGTTTTCCTCCTTTCTATAGTGCGTGTGAATTCCCAGTTCAACTGACCTTTTTTTTTAAAGAATACACATTTTAAACAGATATCTTTACATATCTGAGCCCCGTGGCCTAGTGGTTAAATGGCAGTACTGCAGTCAAGCTTCTGCTCATGGCATGAGTTTGGTCACGATAGGCTCAGGTAGATGGCTGAAGGTTGACTAAGCCTTCCACCTATCCGAGGCCGGTCAAATGAATATCCAGCTCGTGAAGTGTGTGGGTTTTAATGTGTAGCCTGCATAATTGAATTTTAACCAGTCAGAGAGTGCTTTAGCACTATGGGGTAGTGTATAAGTTGGAACAACTAAACCAACATATTTTATTTTTCCTTTGCAGCATTTCCCCACTTTCTTAGTTACTGTGTTGTGTGTATCTTAGAGCTTGACTAAATGTTGTAATTCTCCTGCTTTTGACTTGGGTTTACTGCTGGAAGGTTTTTTCCAACCTTGCAAGCTGTCTGTAGTTCGAGTAGTTGGGAGGGATTTTTCTGGGCTGGGGTGATTGTCTATCTGTCCAGCACTAATCAATGGTTCCATCTTCTCCTTTTGAATTCAAAGAGATCCATGAATCTCTGCTGAGTGTTCTATTTTTGTCTTTCCTCTGCTGGTAGCAGATGTTAATTTGTTCTTGATCTGTTCTGTTAGTTGCTAGTATTTGTGCAGTAGAGAAAGCAGTATACACAAGCCTGTAATTTCAATCAACTGTAAGTTAAAGAAGTGTTTTTTTTTTTACTCTTTTTCCTACAAATATATCTGAGTGAGTTACTGCGAATTTAAGTGCCAGTTAATGCAAAGGTTCTTGGGAACCTGCAGCTCTCTAATTTTGTTCACCTTTAATGCTTCTTTGCTTTGCTAATAATGGTTGATGACCTAGGTACTGCTGAATCAGATTTGCCACTTATTACTGCCTTAGCTCTACATCCCTACCATTTCAGGGTACATTAATGATTTTCTCATAGGCTTTGCTCAGGCCAGACCAAGTCCTGCCATTTTGCTGTCTGAGGTGGCGCTTCACAGGGTGCCTTCACTTATTCATGTCAAGGGACATGAAAGGGAAAGTTAGGCAAGTTATTTTGACACAGGAGGCTGAAAATCCCAAGTTATTTTGAAATGGGAGCCCCCTCTCCCCATCCCTGGCAGTAAATAACAGACTGAATTACCTTTCCCCAACCTAAAGAGACCACTGGCTATTCATAATTGGAAAAGGTGTGAGCTAGGTGAACTACACTGGCATGAGGCAAAAACAGATGTTTTAAAAAGGAACTGCTGGATGCATAAACGTTACCACTCTGCTGCTGGAGCTGCATGAAACCTTCTTTCCACCTGCTTCTTCTTCCCCCCTTTCTTTTTGTTACCAGGAAAGGGCAGAGAAAGCTTCACATGGCATGCCCTGCCATTAATCTTTCCACTGATTTAAATGAGTAATGGTTCAAGCCAGTGGACGAAATAATTTTAAAATAGTTAGGACTGCATTTTTAGTATGGCATCTATCTATCTGAGGTATTTTACTTGGTAGATAGATGTGTAACCTTCCTAGGCTCGCTGCACTCGGTTTCAGATAAGAAATTGGCTATAAAGCAATACTGACCTCATGGATCAGCGAAATGTAGTTGCCTTTGGTACACTGAACACAGCATTCTTTTAAATGGCCACTTTTTCCGTCTCTTGTTCTGACATCTGTAATGATCCTGCTGCCAAGCAAGCAAGCAAGCAAGAATGAAAGAAAGAAAGAGGGGGGAAAAACCCTTCCACAACACTGCCTGAAAGAGCTATCACTGAATGGTCTCTATGGGCTTGTGTTGACATTTGATAGAGCATTTGGCTGGTGTTGCATAAGAATAAGGGTAGCTGCCAGCAGAGCCTCTTCTGTCCTCAGGCTGAGAAAGGCAGGGAGCATAGCAGAATGGACAGAACAGCGTGCGATTAAACACTGACTAGGGGTTCCAACTCATCACCAAGTGTGAGACCCCCACATTGCTTCTCACAGTTCACCACTTGTGTCAATCATCTTGGTGTTACTTGTACTCAATACTTATTCCTAGCATAATAGTCCAACTGCTGTATTAATGAACCACAGTCACTTTGTCCATTATTTGTATCCTCACCTGGTCATGGGGATGTGTATCAGTAGGGTAGCCATCTAGTCTGAAGAAGTGGACTTGAACCACAAAAGCTCACAATAAAATATAACAGTCTTTGATATCCCAACAACCACAATATGTTTGTCTTTTTGTTTCTTTGTAGCCTACTTTGCATCTCCTAAGCTACTGTACTTCCCCAAGGAATAGAGAAAGTTACTGTCTTGTCTCCAGGGCCAAAAGAAGAATTAAACTACCCGTGTGTTCACTTCAGACCTTGGAAATAACTAGCTACAAGTAAGAAGCTACCTGTATTTCTCTCTTTCCTCCCTAACAAAAATATAATTACATCAGATTTTGATTATAATGTAAATAAGGGCTAACTTCACTTATTTTGTTCTTATTCTCAACCTCTCTCTCATTCTCCATCAGTGTAGGAGAAAAACAGCAGCATATGGCAAAATCTGCCAACATGCTAAAGCACACAGAAATAGGAACCTGTGGCAGAGGGGGGAACTGGTTGCTATCACACACACACACACACACACACCTTTTTTTTTGCTGCATATTAACTCCTTTCCCTTGCTGTTCCTGCCACTACTGGTTGCATATCCCTTCCAGACTAGTCTTACTTTTCCTTGCCTCATTCCTGTTTCCTCTTCCTTTGGTCTCATGATTTGTTGCTGCAATGTCTGCCACACCTGTGTATGCACGTTAGACTACTGCAGTGCACTCTACGTGGGGCTAGCTTTGAAGAGGACAGGGATGCTCCGGCAAGTGCAATATGCAGTGGCTAGACTCCTAACAGGAACATCTTTTGCAAGGCCCACAGGACGCTGGTTCCGAAGGACTTGCATTGACTGCCAATGCGCTTCCAGCCTGACTTCAAGGTGTTGAACAGCTTGGGACCTGGATATTTGAAAGAGCAGCTCACCCCATATAAACCTGCTGGAGAGGCTTTTCTCTGTTTCCCACCACAGAGAATTGTACACTGTGCAGAGAAGTGTGTGGGTGTTTTCTTGGCTGTAGCACCCTCACTGTGGCGGCTCAACTGGTGCCAACCTATGCATTGTTTTGGCATCAAGTCAGAACAGCTTATTTGCTAGAACCTTTGGGGTTGAGGATCCTGGTCTGTGCAGGTTTTAATGTTTCAGTGTTCTAATTTTATCTGCTTTGACCCGTTGTTTAAAACTATTTATGTTTTTAAATTGTCCTGTACAGCTCTGCAAGCTACACTGAGATCTTGAGATGCAGGGTGAGCTATAAATGTTTTTAAATAAAAACAAGCAGATGTTAAGGGGACTCAGCAGATAGAGCCATGGCCCTGACAGCAGAGCTTCTCCACACAGTGTGTGTGTGTTGTGTATGGTGTGATACACTCACATCTGTTATGCTGGTTGAGGGAAGTGAGGAGGTTGCAATGTGTATGGTAACACAATTCGTTTCCTTTCCGTTATGTCATCATGCTATCCTAACATCAGGGAACAAACAAATTCGTTTCCTTTCCGTTATGTCATCATGTTATCCTAACATCAGGGCACAGGAGTCAACCATTTCAAACATGTCAGAAGGACAGATCCTGGTATTGAGATAATAAGCTGTGTGTCTACGGTTGGTCAGGGTGTACATGGTGTTTTACCAACATGTTGGCATGTATGGGGAAAATGAGAGTATGCTCATACTCAAACATGTCAGAAGGACAGATCCTGGTACTGAGATAATAAGCTATGTGTCTAGGGTTGGTCAGGGTGTACATGGTGTTTTATCAACATGTTGTCATGCTGGCATGTATGGGGAAAATGTACTCAGGTGATGCACAAAACAGTGGGATTTAGCTGAGATGTGATGAAAGCAGTCCTCTGATAGCACAAGAGGGCGAACTGGACAAATGAATAAGGACTGGGTTAGAAAGAGGCTGCCCCCTCACACAGATGGCGGAAGAGCTGGAGAGGCAAGAGCTGCTGTTCCCCTGGAGGATGATAAGGCTCTTGCCCCCTTGATTTAGGTTGTGTTTGTGCAAGAGGGGTGCTGGAAGAGTGAATCAAGACAGTGATCTTATGTATTTGCATTTTCTTTTAGGGTTTTAGAGACTATATATGTGGAGCCAATTCCTTTATGATGTCCTGCCTCAATCAGTTTTTAGTTCCATAGAACTAGATAGTGTTACATGTGCACAGCCTGCCTTTCTCTTACTAAAATAGATATCTGTGTGTGGGAACACAGCCACCCATCTCTCTCTCTCTCTCTCTCTCTCTCTCTCTCTCTCGTTCTCTCTCTCTGTGAAGTGGGTTGCTTCCTGTGAGAACTGGAGCAACAGGCAAGGAAGGGGAAAGAACCTGACGGTCTAGCTAACTTAGGGCTTCTCCTTACAGCTAAGACTAGGTTTCAGAAAGCAAGGACACCAGCATTTTCTCATGTAATTTTTGGGAAGCATATGAACATCAATTCAGCATCTGAATATGAGAAAAAACATATTGTAAGCTCATCTGATCAACACACCTGCTTCGTATGGAGCCAAATCATTAGTTTATCAAGCTTAATATTGTTGACTCTTAATGGCACTGGCTCTTCCTGAGGTTGGGCTATTTGTTTATTTATTAGGTTTATGCACCATGTCTGTTGCGGAGAATAGCAGAGGCTTTTTTCCCCAGTTGTGTTCCCCACCATCCAATATAATAGAATATGTCTTCCTTATACTACACGACATGGAGACACAGATTCCCCTGATTAAAAAAAAAATACAAGGGGAGGAGAAAGGAAGGCATTACACAATGGGTGGTTGTCTATGCTTCTGAAAAAAATTCAACCAAGAGAAGGAGTCACTGAAGAAGGGAAGGAAAAATTGGTGGGCCAACTCAACAGGTCCATATGCAACCCTTTGGCCAATTGGGCAAAAATGGCCAACCAAAGTCTTCATAGTGGCCAATAAGTTAGTGTGCTGGTGCCTGGCATGAGTATGCAGGCATGGTTTGGCCCAGGTTAACTGGGTTGCTGCTGCTTTGTTCATGGCAAAGGAGCAGCTTCCTTCTGGTTGGAGAGGAGTCTCTTCTGCTACAACTGTGGTAAAAGGACAGCAGAGCAGTGGTGCAGGGAGCTTCATTTTGTTCTGTGGAGTTGGATGCTTTTCCTGCCTGCTGGCATCGTTTTGCTCACTAAGTTCGTATAGCATGATTCTTAAGGCTAGATTAGTCAGTGTCTTTACTTTTTAACTGCAGAAAAGGAACACAATGTATAAAAGCACATGATTGCAATATTGGCACAACAACTTTTTTTTTGAAGCCCAGATGTAGCAGTTCCTTAATTAAGTAATTCAAGAAGCTGTTGAGCTTTACTTGGTGGTGCAGGAAGACAAACTGAAACAGAACTTCCAATCTGGAGTGAGAGATAAACACTCCACCATATGTAACATTGCTGGGCGTACTTTTGGATGAGAATCTGGAGAGTGTTTCACAGGAACAGTGAAGTTCTTGTGAATGAATGTGGCTGGCACGCTGATCATTACTGAAGAGCAGAAGTGACTGTTCTCTGCTCTGAAAGAACAACTTTATGGACAATTGGCATCTGTAACAACAGAAGATGGGACTCCGAAGGCACATGTATCTGAAATCATTACTGAAGAGCAGAAGTGACTGTTCTGTGCTCTGAAAGAACAACTTCATGGACAATTGCCATCTGTAACAACAGAAGATGGGACTCTGAAGGCACATGTATCTGAAATGAAGTGAAGGATGCAGTTGCTTGATGTAGACTTGTATTTATGGTGTCTCTTTATCTTTGACCTTTCTCACCTTACTGATAGATATCTATCTGGAGATACAGGATGGCTGGAAAAATGAGGCCATACCTTTTCCCTGTAGAGAATCACATTCAGATTAGCCCAAGCCATTTGGCTTCCTGCGACCAAGGACAAGATGATGACCCTTCCCTCCTGTTCAGTATAAAGAGGCTGAGAAGACTGGTAGTTGAATCTTACTTCAGTGCTGTGACGATGGGACAGCATCCTGGATCACATATCTGTGTGGTTGATTAGCTTAAAATGTGGAGGGCAGGCCACATGGTACACAGAAGTGTGGTTGATTAGCTTAAAATGTGGAGGGTAGGCCACATGGTACACAGAAGCTCTGTGCTTCAATACCACCACTCCCCTATTTTTAGCAACTGCTGCCTCAGGCAGCTGTCTCATTCTGCCTTTCCACCACTCCCCTATTTTTAGCAACTGCTGACTCAGGCAGTTGTCTCATTCTGCCTACCGGCAAGGCCAAGCCTTGCTTGTGTATGCATGGAAGCTTGCTGTCTGAAGATAAAGGACTATTCTTAAATTCATTCAGAGGTTAAGGAGTCATAAGGTAGTGCTTGTAAGATGAGAAGTTTTGTGGCACAGTGGTTGGAGTGCAGTACTGCAGCTAAACCTCTGCTCGTGACTTGGGTTCAATCCCAAGTAGCTGGCTGGAGGTTCATTCTGCCTTCAGTCCTTCTGAGGTTGGTAAATTGAGTACCCAGTTTGCTGGGGGAGGGGTGGCAGCAATGTGTAGCCTACTTAGCTAAATTGTAAACTGCCCAGAGAGTGCTTTAAGTGCTATAGGGAGGTATATTAGCAGCACACTTTGCTTTGTTTTTACTCACTGTGGCTGAGAGGATGAAACTAGAATTTGTTGGCTCTGCTTACTGTTGGTTTGACCTCCATTTCACTGGGCTCAGTGGGCACCAGCTGCCGATCTTCCCAATGTGTTCTCGCATGTCTGCGAGAGACATTCTGTGGGGACACAAGGAATCTAAATCAAGGGTGGAGGGAAGCTGAATTTATATTTACAGTTGAAATCCCAACATTTCTTGACAGGGGAGGGGTGTGTTGATGGGAAATTCGAACAACCTTATAAAAAAGGCAGTCTCCTCTTTTTTTGCAGACATCTCTCTCTCTCTCTCTTTAATGCTGAAAACACTTCTTTTGGCTGTGCCCAGCCATTTGTTTGTGCTTTCTTTTTATTAGCTTCCTCTGCATGGCTGCCTTTGCGCTTTATATCACAATGTCATATTATCAAGGCTCCAGAATGAATGTGAACTTCCCGTTGTTTCTGAGCACGACTTTCTCGGTGACAGTTCCGGCAATTTACTTCCCACTGAAGAAACCAGGAAGGCCCTGCCCTCTGGGTAAGCGATCTGATTGCTGGATATAATAACTAGTGTTGCAAACACAATAAAATTTTATACGATTTTTTTTTTATTGGCTACCCCCTCAAAGAATTATGGCAGTGGCAGTGGCTTGTTAAAGCAAATGTGAGTGGCTGCAGGCATCGTGCATCTGTCCCCACTCATACAGAAGCTGTGCGTTTCCCTTTCCCTGCCTTTCTCTCCTCGTACAAGAAAAATTCTCATTACTCATTCAAACACCAATTAAAATAATCAGTTAAAGGGGCTTATTTCCCTTCTGTACTTGCCTCAAGTTGAAACGGATTGCCTGGAAAGAAGGCCAACAACTCAGCTTGTACCTTATTATTGTCGTATAATTTAAATATCATGGCTGATGCTTAAATTGTTTTGGCACTCCCTTTCCCCCTCATTGAGCCATTCACAAAATTCTGCAAGAGAAGTCAGGGTAATTTCATTTTGATTTAGTGTTTGAAAACCAAGCTGAACTGAATGACTTTCTAAACAGCGGCCAATGAATATATATATAATGAATATAATGTTCCCTCCCCAATGGTTTGAGTTCAAATTAGGGCTAGCCAAAAACATTTGTTACTGGAGATGGCACCTTCTCTTTTCCATGTGTGGAAGCCAACGGGAGAGGAATGGCCCAGGCTTTTTCACTGCTTGAAGTGGGCTGTCCCCCAACCAACCGTGTGGCCCACAGGACAGAGAGGCAATCCCCTGCTTCTCACCATTGGAGGAGGCAGCTGCAACAACAGTACTTCCCTCCCACTGCAGGACATCGAGGAGCAGAAGGGCACACAGCAGAATCCCACGCATCCCCCTGCGGCAGAGGTAGATTGCAGGAGAACGTTGCTTACTTTGATGTATGAAAGCAGGTAGTGGCATCAACCAACGGGACACGCAAGCATTGAATCCCAGCCCTGGAGAAGACTGAGGAGGCTGCACACCCTTTTATCAAAAGCCAGCTCTGTACAATGTACACCAGGCATCTTCGTCAGTACAGTGCTTGGGATAGTGGTGGTGGTCCTCTTGAGTTCGGGTCATGGCACTATGGGAAGTGTGATAAAGAAAATTACCTGCCAGTGCACTCAAGAGGTGGTCTACTCCTCCGGCAGTGCCTTGGTTCTAAACCCGTCAGTGAAAAAAAAAGATGTTTTGTATAGCGGAGGCTTTTCACAGGATGTGTCCAAAGTGCACAGACTTTGCCTCCTTTTCTTTCATGGGCAACTCATGACTGATGATCCCTGCCATAATTCATCATTGTTGCTGGTGCTGCCATGACTCCCTCCTTCCTTCCTTCCTTCCTTCCTTCCCTCCCTTCCTTCCTTATTGATTGATTGATTGATTGATTATTGAGAATGGCTATCAGGGAGTCTTCCTTCCTTCCTT